CACACACCAGCGCTCAACATACACTGCAGACCAGCTCAACACACACCAAGAGACGCAGGGATACAGACACACACATACACACCAGCGCTCAACACACACCGCAGACCAGCTCAACACACACCAAGAGACGCAGGGATACAGACACACACACACACACCAGCGCTCAACATACACTGCAGACCAGCTCAACACACACCAAGAGACGCAGGGATACAGACACACACACACACACCAGCGCTCAACATACACTGCAGACCAGCTCAACACACACCAAGAGACGCAGGGATACAGACACACACACAAGTGCTCAACACACACCGCAGACCAGCTCAACACACACCAAGAGACGCAGGGATACAGACACACACACACACACACACACAAGTGCTCAACACACACCGCAGACCAGCTCAACACACACCAAGAGACGCAGGGATACGCCACACACACACACAAGTGCTCAACACACACCAAGAGACGCAGGGATACAGACACACACACGTGGATTGTTTGGGCCGATGCGCTGGACTCAATGTGTTGCTTGTTATTACAGCACTGGTGTACCACTACACAATGAATCCAAACACACACACAATTAAAGACTCTTAGAAAGCAAATGGAAACCTTACTAATTATTGATACTCTTACTGATCATTTGCTGAAGGTTCTTGTTTAAAGCATCAGATACACACACACACACACAGATGTGAGATTTGGCAGATCATCACTCAAAACCAGGCCTGCTCAGCAAAATCCCCAGAGTTACATTAACTCTGCTCAGAGAACATATGGTCCCTCTATAGAGAGTTAAAGTAACTCCGAATCAGAGTTAAAGTTAATGAGATAATTAAGTGATTAATTAAGTGATGAACACCTGCTGTTAACAAGCAGAATAACTGAAGGAAAGAGAAACAACAAGAACAGAAAAAAGAGAAACACAAGAACTACAACTGACTTCAGCCACAGTCTTAGCTGAAGAGAAAAGAAGACATTAAATCTGTGAAGATCTCAGCAGAGGAGGAATAAACACCTCCACACACAGCATTACAAGCTTCACTTATTACTAACCAGACTGACTTTATCTCTGTCAGACGTCTACAGAAGCTCTTATTGAGAATTAGATGTTGACGATTTATTGAAAACGTTTGGTCACCAATATGGTGATCAGTGTTTCGTTTCATTGGACAGTTTGACTCTTTGCTTTTTGCTGCGAGTTTGTGGTCTTTGTAACAGTTTTTACCAAAACACACAATTTGTGGCAAAGAAAGCCAGAAACAAAGATGATCAGGAGATATAGTTTTCAACAACATAAAGTAGAGTAATTCTCTAATCTCATCACTGACCTAAAGTGGTTATTTGATGTTAATAGATTATATTCCCTAACAATACTCTCTTGCCACAGATCAGACATTCTGACTTTTGTAAAACATTGCGAGAATTGTTTTTTTTTTAAGACAAACAGACATCAAGGATCAGCATGAATCTTAACAATGGTGACATGCGTCATGCTGCAATGCATGCTGGGAGGTGGGAGCCATGAGTTTTATACTATTGTGGCTCCCAGCAATTATTTTGCTTGTTAGCAGGTGTTCATCACTCAACCATCACTTAATTAATCACTTAATTATCTCATTAACTTTAACTCTGATTCAGAGTTACTTTAACTCTCTGTAAAGAGGGAGCAAATGTTCTCTGAACAGAGTTAATTTAACTCTGGGGATTTTGCTGTGTGTACACACACTCTCGTCACCTGTGTTACACTCCCACCTCTCAGGTATGCTGGATTACTGAACTCGTCGAGCATTTTAATGTCCTGTCCTCGGACAAAAATATTTGGTTCTATTGCTGAAGTTCGAAAAGCATCATACTTCAGTTCATCACTACATTATTTCAATATTGAAGAGAACCAGAAAACATTCTCAATCTCTATAAGTAAAATGGCATATCAAAGTCAAGTCACCTTTATTTTCAGTCAAACCTAAATGTATTCAGACACCTTCGACATTTCTCACATTATCACAGTATATTCGCTATAGTTTAGAAAATGGTAATAAAATATGACAAGAACTCAGAGTTATGAAATCAGTGGATATTTCACTAGTTTTGTCCGTCCTTCTGTTAGACTCTCACACATGAATTATGTTGAATATCTGTCAGCTCTTAAATTGAACTCCACAATTAGATAATACCAGTTTAGCTCAACCAGTGACCAAGCAATGCTTCATGTTGTTCAGTCTGTGTGTAAAAACGTTGCATTCGCAATTAAAGAAAAAACACTTCAGCAAAACATGGTCAGATCAAAATGTTTGGTCCCAAATTATACAGGTAGTCACTGTATGAAGAGTTTTTAGGTATAATATGTCACAGTTTATTTTATTTTGCTCACCTCATTTACATAAATGAAATATAGTGTCCTGCACACACTAGTAAAACAATATCAAAAATTATATCTGGTGTCTGAATCATTTTTGGTTTGACTGTAGCGCTTTTTAACATTACAGATTGTTTTAAAGCAGCTTTACGGTGATTACAGGAAAATATTGCAACAAAGATTACAGCAGACACAAATATAGGTCTGTCTTAAGGTCGGTTTTCTCTTTCACTTCAACTACTGTCATGCCCCGAGGAACAGTTTGAGGAGGATAACGCTATTTGCTTTTGGTGTATTTATTATTGGCCACCTCGACAACACCTGGTTTAACGGCACACACACTGGAATGTAACTTGTGGTTTACAAAATAAGTGTGGTCAATTTAACTGAACACAAGCGCTGAGTTCCTGCCAGACGCCAGCACACGCGCTCATGTACGCTTCTCTTGTGGTTTACCACAGGTGTGTGTTATATTACAGCGCAGTAAACACCTGCTGCAGGAACACACTCCTCACACACACTCAGACCTGTGTATGAGCAAATCTTCAACAACAGGGGGACTGAAGGCACCAGCCAGATGAGATGTACATTTCTTCAGCTGGAGACACAAGTTTGGTTTGAGGCCGAAAAACGTACCAAAGCACGAGATCTGAGAAAGCCCATAGATTTACCCACTTTCAGACGCTTCCCTCGAAGAAATCTGGGCAGAAGTGGTCAAGAGGATGATCTAGATCTTATATCTGTTCAAACCGATATAAGGATTGGGATTAACCCTCTGGTGCTCTTCGCGTGTCGGACAAAAATTACAGATCTGAAAATGTTTTTTTTTATTTAATATTTTGTATTTTTAGGGGATTTTACGGTTCTAAATTATATTTACGCCGTATTTATAATCCATTTATTCACTTTTTGAGCATAGACCTGAAAATGAAATTTCCAACTTAAAAACTTTGGTAAATCTTGAATGCTTTAAAGCACAGACTGAAGTTTGATCTCTTTTTAAAGACGACGCTTGGCAGATTATTGCTGAAGTGAAAAAAGTTTAAAAAGTGAACTTAAAATTAACATAATTGTATGTGTATTGTTATGAAAAATGCACAAAAATGCTAATTTCAATTTTTATATGAAATATTACATTGTACTCTAAAACTGCAAGAAAATCAAAGCCATAAATCTAAACAAGTTGTGCTCCAAGTTTGAGCCTGATATCTCAAAAAATGAGCGTTCAGTGAGATGTAGTACGGCTGCAGTACCGAACGCTTCCACTAGAGGAACTTCGTCTCACATTCATTTCCAATGCGCTCAGTTTTTACTATTTTATTCAGGACCATTTAACCTGTTTGAATCATGTCCAAGAATTATGTGTGTGTTCACATGGCAAGTGCCAAAACCTGTACCAAGTTTCGTACCATTCCGATGAAGGGAAAAAAACAAAAACTAAACGTACAAAAAAAAATTCTTTTTTGATCGAAGAGCAACAGAGGGTTCAGGAATGTGTCTCCCTCGTCCACTTGTGATCCGATCGACCAAAGCGCATCTTAACACCAGGTGTAAACATGCCCAGGGAAGAGTAGTTTGTCTAACCAAAGCAAGCACAACACAAACACGTGCTTCCCACTCTTGATTAAGATAACCGGATGAGGAAGAGAAGAGAGGAGAAGACACGAGTGTTTCTGTGTGTGTCTCCCACTGAGAGACTGACATTCCTGACCAACTTCACTGACACTTCAGCCTCTTTAGTGACGGGAGAGTCCCTTTGCCATGAGAGTCACTTCTGTTGGACATCGGGTCCCTCTCAGGGGAGAAAGGAGGGCTTGTTTGAGATATAGTGGATCTCTGTCCCGGCTCAACAATAGAGGAATTCTGCTCGGGAAGAGGGGCGAGTCCTTTAAAACACACCCAGCGCCCACTGTCCACTAGCTAAATCTACACACACATACACACTTAGAATAATAAAGAGGAGACGCTGTCACCAAACCGAGCCTGACAGGATCAGTACAGTACCAGTAGATGCTAAAGGGTCTCATCACATGTTCAAACACAAATGATCATTCTGTGTTCATAAGAGTCGACCAAACTGAAACTAATAATATCTACTTCAATAACTTGGGCTGTGAGATTATGAACTTCAGTAGTACGATGAGAGCTGTCAGTGTTAATATAGAGCTGAAGACAGATCATGGAAACCAGGCTAGTACCAGATCAACACTGTGGCACATGAAGCATTAAATTAACGTATTTAAAGTACCATGTTAATATCATCCCTTCATGATGGCACTTGTTTTGGGTTGTAAACCTCTAGGTTTTGAAGTTTTGCTAACCAGACCAAGTCATTTGCAGCACACATACAGCACCTGTGTGCTTGAAATACTGTGCTTGACATTTTAAAAGCAAATAACCGAACAATAGAACTGTTAACATCTATTTCGAAATAGCTGTTAACAAAACAAATAAACAAAACATTTAAATAAACGATTGAATACAACAACTGTCATTAATAGAATAATAGGCATTATACTAGAAGAAATGTGAATTTTGTATGGATTATTAACTTAAGTTACTCTAATGAATAGCGCGTTGTGTTCTAATGTTAGCCTACTGTTATTGATGAAGCTGAGCATAACGTTACCTTTATCTCACGCTAACAGTTTCTGCTGAGGAGTTTGTGCTTCTTCTCTTCCTTCTGTCGATCCTTCATCTTTTTAAGTTTATTATTCCACATGTTAAGTTATTCCAGAAGTCATATCCGAGACACGCCAGAATCCCAGAGATACAGGATTCATGTTCACGTTCCCAGAGCTCCCAGGCTTTAGCATCCCGACAGACTGAAGGAATCCACATCCACACAATCCAGATAAACTCATGCGGTTCTCCCCTTCAATGAGGCTGTCGACCCACGTGCCACACACACACACACACACATCTCCACATCATCCAGCGAAGATCTTCTTCACACTCGCGAACGACGTCCTGATATTAAACCGAGAGACTCAGATGAAGGTCCGGAGGAAATCTTGTGTTTCGCTGTAATGTGTGAAGAGTAAGAGAAGCGCGCGCGCACACACACTCTCTCTCTCTCTCTCTCTCTCTCTCTCTCTCTCTCTCTCTCTCTCTCTCTCTCTCTCTCTCTCTCTCTCTCTCTCTCTCTCTCTCTCTCTCTCTCTCTCTCTCTCACACACACACACAGCATCGATCCATGGGAAATGTACAGTTCTTTAATTGTCTTTAACTAGTATGTACAACATTTAAATTACTTATTTGATCCATTCCGCTTTTTGTCACGTACATGTTTTTTTATGTTGTACTTAAATCCCTGCATGTAATAATGTTAATTACTTTTTTCTTTAATTTCATCTGTCTACAATTAAACTACCCGTTTTCACAGACATCTAATATAAAGTAAGAAGTCAACATTTATATTTCTTTAGTAAAGCCTAACTATAAGCAATATCTCATGATTCTGAATGTCAACACAAAATGTATTTTTAATGTCTAATGACGTTGCACACAATATATTGTATATTGGACTGCTCTGTATAGTGTGTTGTGCTTGAGATTGCATTGTTTACTTCATTGTGTTTAAAATGGGCCGCATGTTCACCAAAATAACAACCTTGCAAGTGTGTTTTTACGTGTGCAATATACTTCAACAAGTGATCATGACTTGATGAACAGTGGTGTTTGTGTTAATGACAGCATCGCGTGTGAGCAGTTGAGCGTGAGTCGGATAAGATCAGCTGTCGTCACAGGACACAAAAGAGTGAATCATGCTTTCATTAATGTTCTTCACCAGCTCCAGACATGCTTTCATTTCACACATCTCAGATCAGATGAGAAGATCAGGAGTGGACTCGGGATTAGGATCCGTCAAACCGTGACTGATTATTTACAGTTACTATGATTTCAGATACTGGAATAATACAAGTAATAATTCATGTGGCATCATCATAGTAATATTGCTGTTCAACATATCATTCCTTTCCACCCTGGAAAAGTTCTCCTAGTTCTTCTGTTGAAGTCAATCGCTTCGGTCTCTTCCCGTAATCCCAGACTGACTGGATGGCAAAATCTCACTGGATTATTACAGTGTGTGCAAAAGTCTTGTTTGAAAATCTGAAATGCATGTTTTTAATTTGCATGTATAGAAAAATATGTTTTCATTGTTTTGAAAACCTTTTTGTAATTCAATTTTATATCTAATGCTAGCAAATAAGAATTTTTCCAATGTAAATTAACACCAATCTTACATAATATGTCATTGATAAAATGTTTTGCTCACTAGGCTAAATGACGACTTCTGTTAATTGGCCAAATAAGGTAGTTATCAGACAATGATAATAATAAAAATGTAAAAGTCAGTTCATTAATTTCCAATATAAGAGTCTATCACCACTTAAAACCTCAGCAAGTTTGATCTATAAACAATAACCACTCTGTCCATGAACAAGACACATAATTTGAGATTATTTCACGGTGACTGTCACCATACACTGCAAAAATGCTTTTCTTACTTAGTATTTTTGTCTTGTTTTCTGGGAATATAAATCAAAATTAAGTTATTTGTTGCTTTAAAAAAGCAAAATGATCTGTCAATGTGGTAAGAAAATTAAACTTAATTCAAACGGAGACAAGATTATTTTTCTTATCCCATTGGCAGATAATTTAGCTTTTTTTAAGCAAAAAGTCATTAAATTTGTATTTATTTCCCCAGAAAACAAGGCATACAGTGATATCATATGGCATTTTACATCTTTAGTAAATATATCTTTATTTAAGAATATTTAGATATTTGGACTGGAAACAAGACAGAAATACTAAGTAAGAAAAGCATTTTTGCAGTGTAATTGTAATGTGAGTTGTTTGGATAAAGCTAAACCACTAGTGGTGCTATAGAAGCAGTAACCCGTTCCCTGATCCAGCGCTTGCTTTAAGAGCAACACCTCCTCTGGCTGGAGTCCAGCTCAACCACACTCACTCACACACACACAAACACAGGCTCTCGGCTCTTTCTAGTGTACCGCGCAGGAGAGGTGCGTGACTAGAGCCTGCAACCAAAACACAAAGACATTGTTTTCAGTCAAACCCCCTTTTTGGTAACTCAACCACATTCCTGTCTTGCATTCCTGAGTCACCGGCACTCTGAAGTTTTCCTTTTTTTTCTCCTTCTGAGAGTGATACACATAACATTATACAGTAGCCCTGAAAACTGCAGCTGTTACAATTAACACGATAAAATATTCATAAATGATTAGCACAGAATAAATAGATACATTGATTGTTTCTAAAGGAGTAGTTCAATTTCAAATAAAAATTTCCTCATAATTTACTCGCCCCCATGTCATCCAAGATGTTCATGTCTTTCTTTCTCTGTCGAAAAGAAATGAAGGTTTTTGAGGAAAACACTCCAGGATGTTTCTCCAAACAGTGACTTCAATGGGGTCCAACGGGTCAAAGGTCCAAATGTGAGTTTCAGTGCAGCTTCAAAGTCTCGACACGATCCCAGCCGAGGAATAAGAGTCTTATCTAGACAAACCATTGCTCATTTTATAAAAAAAAAGAAACATTTATATAGTTTTTAAACACAAACGCCCGTCTTGTACCATCTCTGAGATACGCCACGCATTACGTCATGAAGTGAAGGTTCCAGTTCCTGTCCAGAGTCCAGTTAATGCAGAGCCCTCTGCCAAGATGGCTGCCGCTTCTGAGGCCTCTGTACAGATGGCCGCCCCCACGCCTGAGGCTCCAGTCCTCGTCCAGAGCCCCGAGAGTGTCCCCGTCCTCGTCCTCAGCCCCGAGAGGACCCCCGTCCTCGTCCAGAGCCCCGAGAGTGTCCCCGTCCTCGTCCTCAGCCCCGAGAGGATCCCCGTCCTCGTCCAGAGCCCTGAGAGGACCCCTATCCACGTCCAGAGCCCTGAGAGGACCCCCTGTCCACGTCCAGAGTCACGAGAGTGTCCCCGTCCAGAGCCCTGAGAAGGACCCCTGTCCACGTCCAGAGCCACGAGAGTGTCCCCGTCCTCGTCCATAGCCGAGCCCCAAGAGGACCCTTGTCCTTGTCCAGAGCTTAGCCCCGAGAGGACCCCCCGTCCTCATCCAGAGCCCCGAGAGGTCCCCTGTCCTCGTCCAGAGCCCTGAGAGGGTCCTCATCCAAAGCCCTGAGAGGACCCCTGTCCTCGTCCAGAGCCCCGAGAGTACCCCCGTCCTCGTCCAGAGCCTCGAGAGGACCCCCGGGTCCACGTCCAGAGCCCCGAGTGAACCCCCATCCTTGTCCAGAGCCCCGAGAGTACCCCTGTCCCCGTCCAGAGCCCCGAGAGGACCCCAATCCTCGTCTAAAGCCCGAGAGGGTCCTCGTCCAGAGCCCCGAGAGGACCCCCATCCTCGTCCAAAGCCCAAGAGGGTCCTCGTCCAGAGCCCCGAGAGGACCCCTGTCCCCGTCCAGAGCCCCGAGAGGACCCCCATCCTCGTCCAAAGCCCGAGAGGGTCCTCGTCCAAAGCCCGAGAGGGTCCTCGCCCAGAGCCCCGAGAGGACCCCCGTCCTCGTCCAGAGCCCCGAGAGAGTCCTCGTCCAGAGCCCCGAGAGGACCCCTGTCCCCGTCCAGAGCCCCGAGAGGACCCCCATCCTTGTCCAAAGCCCGAAAGGGTCCTCATCCAGAGCCCCGAGAGGACCCCCGTCCTCATCCAGGGCCCCCCTCATCCAGAGCCCCGAGAGAGTCCTCGTCCAGAGCCCCGAGAGGACCCCTGTCCCCGTCCAGAGCCCCGAGAGGACCCCCATCCTCGTCCAAAGCCCGAGAGGGTCCTCATCCAGAGCCCCGAGAGGACCCCCGTCCTCATCCAGGGCCCCCCTCATCCAGAGCCCCGAGTGAACCCCCATCCTTGTCCAGAGCCCTGAGAGGACCCCTGTCCCCGTCCAGAGCCCCGAGAGGACCCCCATCCTCGTCCAAAGCCCGAGAGGGTCCTCGTCCAGAGCCCCGAGAGGACCCCCATCCTCGTCCAAAGCCCGAGAGGGTCCTCGTCCAGAGCCCCGAGAGGACCCCCGTCCTCGTCCAAAGCCCGAGAGGGTCCTCGCCCAGAGCCCCGAGAGGACCCCCGTCCTCGTCCAGAGCCCCGAGAGGACCCCTGTCCCCGTCCAGAGCCCCGAGAGGACCCCCATCCTCGTCCATAGCCGAGCCCCGAGAGGACCCTTGTCCTTGTCCAGAGCTTAGCCCCGAGAGGACCCCCCGTCCTCATCCAGAGCCCCGAGAGGTCCCCTGTCCTCGTCCAGAGCCCTGAGAGGGTCCTCATCCAAAGCCCTGAGAGGACCCCTGTCCTCGTCCAGAGCCCCGAGAGTACCCCCGTCCTCGTCCAGAGCCTCGAGAGGACCCCCGGGTCCACGTCCAGAGCCCCGAGTGAACCCCCATCCTTGTCCAGAGCCCCGAGAGTACCCCTGTCCCCGTCCAGAGCCCCGAGAGGACCCCAATCCTCGTCCAAAGCCCGAGAGGGTCCTCGTCCAGAGCCCCGAGAGGACCCCCATCCTCGTCCAAAGCCCAAGAGGGTCCTCGTCCAGAGCCCCGAGAGGACCCCTGTCCCCGTCCAGAGCCCCGAGAGGACCCCCATCCTCGTCCAAAGCCCGAGAGGGTCCTCATCCAGAGCCCCGAGAGGACCCCCGTCCTCGTCCAAAGCCCGAGAGGGTCCTCGCCCAGAGCCCCGAGAGGACCCCCGTCCTCGTCCAGAGCCCCGAGAGGACCCCTGTCCCCGTCCAGAGCCCCGAGAGGACCCCCATCCTTGTCCAAAGCCCGAAAGGGTCCTCATCCAGAGCCCCGAGAGGACCCCCGTCCTCATCCAGGGCCCCCCTCATCCAGAGCCCCGAGAGAGTCCTCGTCCAGAGCCCCGAGAGGACCCCTGTCCCCGTCCAGAGCCCCGAGAGGACCCCCATCCTCGTCCAAAGCCCGAGAGGGTCCTCATCCAGAGCCCCGAGAGGACCCCCGTCCTCATCCAGGGCCCCCCTCATCCAGAGCCCCGAGTGAACCCCCATCCTTGTCCAGAGCCCTGAGAGGAC